ACTAGAATTCATAGTTTCATAACAAATATAAAGTTCAAAGTTTCCTTTTATACTAAACATAAGATTAAAAAAAATTCATATTTCATGAGTTTCAATTATTTATATTGGAATGTTTAAAAATAATTTAAACTCTAAATTTAGATATAAGATACTCTTTATAAGCAGAAAATGCTCCTAAACTACAAAGTCAAAGGTTGATGATCAAAATATCCATCCATATTTGAAAATATGTATAGAACATAGGTTGTGACCAATCGTGCAATTTTCCCAATTAATAAATTGCACATAAAATGTATCAACTACCAACTGAATAATCTAACGTGAATAAATAAGCCTCCGTTTGGAAATTTTATAAAATAATTATAAAACTAATTAAACTTATTTTTAACCGCACACTGAGCAATAAATTCACAAGTACGCATTTCTATATATTTATAAATTCTTTCGAACGGAGGCTAAATATTTAAGAACATCATACCATTTTTCTTGACTATTTATCTATTTTACTAGAGATTAGGCGATTATGCTACAAATCTAGTAAAAATCTCCAGATGGCATGTTCTTGTAGAGAAATAATCGAAGAACTAAAAAGTAATATTATTAGCAGTAATAAATACTTAGTAGAGAAAGATGGAAATGTTAAAAATAAATAGTCACATCGAAAATTACCTTCTAGTCCGACGATACCAACCTAAATCTTCCGACGATTTTAACCAAAAACTTAAGAAATATATTGAAAGAGTGTTGTTGAGAGAGAGAGAGAGAGAGAGAGAGAGAGTGTGTGTGTGTGTGTGTTGTGTGTGTGTGTGTGAGAGATAGGCGGTTTTCAGAGAGAGAGCGGGTGACGTGAGTTGAATGACGGGGGACGTGTGTTGAATCACCGGATTATTACACGGTGGATACGTGGACGGTCCAGATTAAATCCTTGAATATTTAGTTAATATAATAAATTTTTTTGTATTAATTTTTAAAAAGATAATTATAACCTGATTTTTGAATTTTAAACTTTACACCTCATTTTTGAAATGTAAACTTGAAATCTAGGGTTTAGAATAATTTTCTCTTATATTTAATCTCAAGTCGCCAAATTTTGTATCTTAATAAAAGTTCAAATTGAGGTTCAATTAATTTAGTGATTGCTTCTGAGTCCTCGTGCTATGAATTTTTCCGTTTTTCTGCATTTTGTATTCTTTTTTTCAATTCTTCATTAAACATGAAATTTTACCTACAAAATATAATATAACATAAATTAGGTAGAATTTTATTCAAAAGACAATAAAATATCATGATTTAAAGTTTCGAAAAAGTATAAAAACTACACTTATCAGTGACAAAACGATGTAAGCTTGAAAACCCAATTTTTCATCAACTTGTAAAATGGTCCAAAATGATGTCCAAATAATGACACGAAATGTCCAGAGACATCAATTCCTCCTGCCGTCTAAACGCCTCAACGCTATATTCCAATCCCCGTTCTATTGGATTTCACACCTAAGGAGATTACGATGGTGAATTTTCAACTATATGATAAATAAAATTTTAATCTTTTATATTAATTGGCTTTATATCATCAAGCGACCATTGACCTATAATCCAAAATCCTTTATTTAATTTGTTAATAATTTATATTAAATATATACGTAGTTGTTAAGGCACAATAATTGAGTGTCGAAAATGACAAGCAAGTGGCTTCGATTCGACAAGGACGGACTATACACACAAAATTGCGGTATAACCTAAGTAAATTAATATTAAAAACATAATTTAATAAAATAACTTAATTGTCATTAATAATTATTTTTTAACCATATATTCTTCAATAAAATATTATTTTAAAATGCATTCAATAGGAAAAATGGGGCTCGAATAGGTTCTAATAATTAGTAAAATTGTGGATAAGATTATATTGCTGGCAAGTTAGCAGCATCCTATTCAAATTCCAGAGCCAGTTGGTAATCACTATGAAAAACGGAAGGAAAATATTATTTGTTTAAAATATTGCCGCCAAATGCCTGCAGATTTTTGTTCTTCTATAGATTAGGCCGCCGATAGCTCCCCCACGTGCAAGTTTTGTTTTCATTAGTCAAAAGCATGTTTGAAAAATATTTACAATTGATTAAAATATAAACAAGTAGTGAATAAATAAATAATATTTTTGAATTCTGCAAATACGTGAATAATAATAATAATAATAATAAGTCCTTGTTTGGGCAATGAAATTTTAGCGAAAATTATATTTTGGAATAGTAATTTTTTGGAAAATGTATAATTAAAAAAGAAGGAAAGTTTTGAGTTTGCGTGTCATATTATTTTATTGAAAAATGTGTGATTGAAAATGAGAAACAGAGAAATATATTAAAATTAAAATAAATCCCCAAACAAGGGCCAAGTACATCCACTTCAAAAAATTATGTCATCTCCAATCGTGCGCCAAAATTTGAGGTAAGTTTTGCACCGTTTTAAACAAAATTGAAAATCATCTCAAACCCATTGCACCAAAAATTACACCAAATGAACAATATATAATTATTTTCTTCTTTTTTTTTCATTGTTAATAATTTATTTATATGAAAAATTATTATTTTTATTTAATTTATTACTACATAAATTGTTGAATAAATAATTACGTTTCATAACGAAAATATTGAATTCATTAATAAATTTAATGAATGTAGTACAATTAATAGAAAAATCACAACTAAAAAATATTAAATAATAATAATAATAACAATAATCATAGTATTAAAAAATAATAATTATAATAATTAATTAAGAATTAAAATTTGTTGTATAACAAAAAAGTGACACAAATGCCCTTAACAAAAGTTGGTGCAAAAGGAGAAGAAGGGCAAAGAGGACATTAACCATTTTGGTGTAAAATGATGCAAAATTTGGTGTTGGGTTGGAGTGAGATTACACCAAATATTTAGTGCAAAATGGGGAAAAATGGAGATTTGGTGCAAGGGTTGGAGTTGCCCTTGGTATTGAATTTAAAACTTTTGTAACAAATTGGCCATTGACATTCTAGAATTCATGTCTTGAAAGTTTTGTTAGATTCTCATTAATGTAACACATAGGCAACACATCTAAATGCAATTTTGGTGTGACTTCATTCGAGCTTATTCGGATATTGTATTCGATTAATAGTCGTCGTCATTTCTATCGAATTCAACTCTATAATTATCATAGCACATGTATTGTATGGATTAAATTCTTGATAAAAATATATAATTCTAAGTTAACAATTGATTTTAACCATACAAATTCGTTGAATTCACAAATGCTTTAATTTGCCCGTAAAATCTCCTGTACATGTAGTATTATTCAAATTTAAATTAAAGAAAATATTCTTGTGCATAACTATTTACATAATGATGAGATATCAAGATGTAAGTGGGGAAGTTATTTGATTGTTGAAATTTTGATCCAATTAAATATCGTCGCATTATTTATTGGTAAATCATTGCGTAAATTGTTATGCACACGTAGCACTACCGTTAAATTAATGTTTTGAAAAATTTGGTCAAATTGTATGTCACCTCATCATTTATTAAATTTTCTGTCAACAAAGATATATATGTGAGAGGGGTTGATTTCGTAATCAATCACACTACATTTACATCTGTGTTGATATTAAATTTGACACACTTATGAGGGACGACTTTTTAGACATTAATTTTAGGGTAATTAGCACGTTACGTCTTTACTTTTCACTATTATTGTGGAAAACGTCTTTATCTTTCAATTATTTACATTTTCACTATTATTTTCACATTTCATTGCATAAAAGGTTCTTTACGTCCATTTTCTCAATTAAAAGCTATGAAATGACGAATATGCTTTTCTATTTGAATAAAACAAAAAGAAAAAAGAAAAGACTAATTTTAATTATAGTCCCCAATTTTTTAAAAAAGTGCAAACGAATTCCAAATAAATTAGTAAAAGAATAATCAACACATACTATCTTTACTTTTCACTATTACTATTAAAAAAAGTCTCTATCTTTCATTTTTTTGGTATCTTCACCTTTAATTGTTAAAACCATTGTTTCTATTTATTGTCATCTAATTTCTCAATAAAAGTTGTGAAATGACGAAGATATACTCCTATTTAAATAAAAAAGAAAATTAAAGAATTTTTTGTAAATTTTTTTTCTAATTTTTAATAATTTATTGGGACACGTTTGCACTTTTAAAATTCTTTTTATTTTTAATAATTTATTTGGTACTCGTTTCCACTTTTTAAAATTTTTTAGGACCATGATTACAATTAGTTCTTTATTTTTTTTTTAATATTGTGAATGTATATTCACAATTTCACAGTTTTTTATTAAGAAAATTGGATGAAAATAGATAAAAATGATGATTTACACAATCAAATGTTTAATAATGATGAAATGACGAAAAAATGAAAATGGGGACAATTTTTCATATTAATAGTGAAAGGTATGGACCTTATGTGGTAATTATAATTTTAATAATTTATTTGGAACTCTTTTGCACTTTTTGAAAAAAATTGGAACTATGGTTACAATTAATTCTTTTCTTTTATTTTAATTACTACTTTTAAATTGAGAAAATGAATGAAAATGACATTTGCGTAATGTAATGTGAAAATAAAAATGAAAGCGTAAAAACAATAAAAGGCAAGAATGTTTTTTACAATAATAAGAAAATGTAAGGACATAATGTCTAATAATCCTTAATTTTAACAATATTTTAAACAACCACCAATTTAGGGCTAGTTTAATCATTTCAAACAATGAGTTTTGCTGTGGGTATACGTTTCAATTTTTTATTATCATGGGTCCCGCATGGGCCCACCTATGTAAATGTGCGTAAAACTTCTTTCTAATTGGCTCCAGGAAGATTCCGCCTAACCATTCTTACAGAATTCCGTTTCCAGCCAACAACCCACCACCGCTCCATCTCTATATATCAGCCAGCCACCTACAACTAGGACCCAACTACACTCTATTTCACCATCTTTCTTCACCATTAATGGGTACTCTTGAAATAGAAGCTCCACTTGAACACAAAAAATCCATACCAACGGAGGCAGAAGAAGACGATGACGAGATTTCACCCATAGAACAAGTCCGGTTAACCGTGCCCATAACCGACGACCCGACCCTCCCATTATGGACTTTCCGCATGTGGATCCTCGGCATTCTCTCCTGTTCACTACTTTCCTTCCTCAACCAGTTCTTCTCCTACCGGAGAGAGCCACTTATAATTACTCAGATAACGGTACAGGTGGCCACTCTCCCCATTGGACGGTTCATGGCTGCCGTCCTGCCCACCACAAAATGGACGCTGAATCTCCCACGGGTCGGGCCTACAGAGTTCAGTCTCAACCCGGGTCCCTTCAACATGAAGGAGCATGTACTCATCTCGATATTTGCGAATGCTGGAAGTGCTTTCGGGAATGGGCCGGCTTATGCTGTTGGTATTGTAAATATAATTACTGCATTTTACGGAAGGCATATCTCTTTCATCACTGGTTGGGTACTCATTATAACTACTCAGGTACGTTTAATTGTTCACTTACCTCTCGGGGAACTCTCAATTCGAAACAAGTTAATACTAATTTATTCTGCTGCTCCAATTATAGAAACGTAATGGATAGTTTATGGAATGATTTGAAGCAGGTAAGGTGATACTATATTTTGGATGAAGAGTAGCTACTAATTTTAAATATATGAATGTACCCGTTTATGAAAATTGTGCACTCATCATAAAATTCATCAAATGTTAAACTTGAATTGGGTTAAATTGAAGGCTAAATTTAAATAAATAAAAAAGTGTGTTTAGACGGATTTGTTCAACCTTCGATTGATAGCCCAAAAGAATGATGAGATACGACTTTTTCCATTGTGTTTTCTTGGATTAATTGTGAATTATTTTACACGAAAATGTGAAACGAATTGGAAACTAGTAAAAAATGACGATTCAGGAATGGTCCTTTTCTGCCGTATGCTGATAGTGATTTGATACTAACCCGTGGAATCAGGTTTTGGGATATGGATGGGCCGGGCTTCTCAGGAAATACGTTGTAGAGCCGGCACATATGTGGTGGCCAAGCACACTTGTCCAGATCTCCCTCTTCAGGTACTCTTTCACTTGATTTCTTTTTCTGCTGTTCCTTGTCATTGAACTGTGATAGAGTCAATTATAAACTCTTTGCTACTACTGTTTTCGTGTAATTTTATTTAGTAATTCATATCGACTTTTTAGATTTAGGTAGAATGGCACTGATCTTTGGATGCTAAGTTGGCTGTCTGACTTCGGATTTTTAGTTTATTAGTTTCAGTTCCTCTATTTACTTTCTTCTTCAGCAATAGTGACTCCCTTTCAGTTCACAAACACGGTGGACAAATATGGTTGCTTGTCAATAACAAATTAAGCCTTATTCTATGCTGCAATGGGATTCTTTTTTTTTCATAGACTATTTCAATCGGTCCCTTGAATTTTTAGTAAATATCTTTACTTAAAGAACTTTGGTTCAGGTAAAAATTTAAAAAAGTTTAATTTCTTATGATGTCATAATTGACGTGAAGATTCTTAGTTTGCTTAGCCATGTGCAAATAGGAGGCCGCAATGACCAATGGGACTCACACACTCAAGTTAGGCGTGTTATGCAAATAATTTGGAAGAGTTTCAACTTATTATTCTTATTATTGCTCATATGCTTAATAGAAGTCCATGAATACCGTTTATTTATAGGATTTCTTTATGTTGGTCACCACCTTCAAGTGTCAATGACTTGTCTCTTCGAAGTTCCATTATTCCTAACGTTCTACTAGTTACTGAACATGCCCTGATATTCCTTGAATTCCTATTGGTTGAGATGTTGGTTCACAGACTATCATGAAATTACGGTTGTTGCCGCTGCACTGACCAACTGTTCTTCCAGGACTGTGAGCCTGAAACACTTAAGACAGTTCACAAACTTTTAAAGAGAGCATGGCGAGGTTGGACCCCGACTTTCTGGCAGGAAGTGAATGATGAACATGACAACCTTTTCATGTTAGAAGTTTCTTCTATCACTTATTGGCAGTTTTTTTCGACTCCCAAGAGGATAACGTATTAGGTGGAGTAGCCCAATCCCCCCATCATCTACTCCATGCTTAACTAATGTGGTAATTTGTTTTGATTTTCCCAACAACAGGGTTTGTCTTGGTATGATCCGATCAGTTCCTGGGACATCCTTGTACTAGTCTGTCATTTGTCTTTATGATGGCTACTAGATGGCCATTGCTGACCTGGATATCCAATCCCTTTCACCTTTTGTTATTAAATCTGGTTGATTTTTCAATTGTCAACTTGAAAGTCCACGTTAAGCATATATATTAGTGTTATTCATCTTTTACGTCCTTTAGTGCAAATTTTAAGTAATTCAGTGTCTTATCCTAAGTTATTCACTACTTTAGGCTCCACACACAAAGCATATACTAGTAATCAGAAAGGGAAAAAGTGTTTTCGTGCTTGATTTGTCATAATTTTTATCCTACAACACTTCTGAATCTGGACTTGCTTTATACAGGGCATTGCATGAAAAAGAAAATGAAGATGGTGATGACAATGAGGATGGTAGAGTTGGCCAGAAACAGACATCCCGTTTCAAATTCTTTCTAATTGCACTACTTTGTAGCTTTTGCTGGTATCTTGTCCCAGGCTACTTATTCATAACCCTGCAGAGCATTTCTTGGGTATGCTGGACATATCCCAAGTCTGTCACTGCCCACCAGATAGGATCAGGTTTCAGTGGTCTCGGAATTGGAGCCTTCACACTCGACTGGTCGGTAGTAGCTTCCTTCTTGTTCAGTCCTCTCATCTCTCCCTTCTTTGCCATTGCCAATGTGTTTGTAGGATATGCATTGTTTATGTATATTGTTCTTCCCATATCATACTGGGGGGTTAATTTATATAATGCCAAAAACTTCCCCTTCTATTCTGCGGATTTGTTCACGGCACAAGGTCAGCCATATAATGTAACAGCAATTGTCAACAAGAACTTTAAGCTGGATCTGGGAGAGTATGACAAGCTAGGACGAGTCAACTTGAGCACTCTCTTTGCTCTCTCGTATGGCTTTGGATTTGCCACCATAGCATCTACACTTACGCATGTGGCGTTATTCTATGGAAGGTACGCCTTTTTCTTGATGTTGTCTTCATTTTTTTAACATTTTACTCGGAACTGCTTGGATAGCCTAAATTTCAATATCTTGATATAGTTTATGCCAGGCTCAAGTAAACTTCTTAATCTCCACTTCAATCTTCTTTATTAGATATTATAAAGAACAAGAATTACATAGGAATTCAGAACTAATCGGAAGATACCAAAGCAATTCTTGTTCTTTATAATATCTAATAAAGAAGATTGAAGTGGAGATTAAGAAGTTTACTTGAGCCTGGCATAAACTATATCAAGATATTGAAATTTAGGCTATCCAAGCAGTTCCGAGTAAAATGTTAAAAAAATGAAGNAATCTCCCACCTGTCATAAAATAGAAGGATCATAATATTAAGTGAAGAAATCGCATCTATACCTGAATTTTTTCCTTCCAAAATTTGACTTCGAACTCAAAATTCATCTAATTGACTGGAGTTGCAAAATTGCCGCCTCAATATTTTTCACAAGTTCTTTACTTTTCTATTCAAACTGCTGTATTACATAATTCTTTGTAGAACCGCTGCTTTGGTGAGTAAATTGAAGTCCCAACGTCTCAGAAGTACATAATTGAAAGCCCATTGAAGTCCAAACCATAAATCACCTGATATCTTACAATTCAAATCTCCCACCTGTCATAAAATAGAAGGATCATAATATTAAGTGAAGAAATCGCATCCATACCTGAATTTTTTCCTTCCAAAATTTGATTTTGAACTCAAAATTCATCTAATTGACTCGAGTTGCAAAATTGCCGCCTCGATATTTTTCATAAGTTCTTTACTTTTCTATTCAAACTGCTGTATTACATAATTCTTTGTAAAACCGCTGCTTTGGTGAGTAAATTGAAGTCCCAACGTCTCAGAAGTACATAACTGAAAGCCCATCTCCTTTCTTTGGTTGGACTTATGAATTAATTAGCATAATTGTTCACCGTTGATTTTCAGAGAGATATATGATCGCTATAAAGCTTCTTCAAAGGGAAAGATAGATGTTCACACAAGATTAATGAAAAACTACAAAGATATTCCTTCATGGTGGTTTTACTCTCTTCTTGTGGTGACTATTGCGGCCTCTCTTGCACTCTGCATCTTCAAGAAAAGTGAGGTTCAGTTGCCTGTTTGGGGACTTCTATCTGCAGCTGCCCTTGCTTTTATATTTACTCTTCCAATCAGCATCATCACTGCTACCACGAATCAGGTAATTCCTGGACATAGGTTTATTCTCCATTCTCTGTTTCGCCTCTTCTTATGGAAGATGATCACATATAAATTTTGATAATACGAGAAAAAGTTAGTAATTTCGAGATTATTCTCTCGGTCCTGCTTGTTTACTTTTGTCTCCTTGTCAATGCTACAAGAACTGTTATAAACATTAAGAGGTCTTTCTCTTTGTTTTTCAATTTTGTGTTTTGAGTCTCCATTTTGAAATTGTTGAAAATGTGTACTTTTTGGCATTTTGAAAACATTCAAAACGATAAATTTATCGTTTTGAGTTTTCTTAGTAAATTTTTAACTTGTTTTCAAAAACGTGTTTTCGAAAATAGGAAAGAGGACGTGTTTTCCCTATTTTGGAAAATCGAAAATAGAAAACGGCTTAAAAATGGTAAAGAGAACATGCCCTTAGTTTTGCTAATTTCTTATCCTTTCTTCATAGACACCAGGACTAAATATTATCACGGAGTATGTTATGGGCATAGTATATCCTGGAAGACCAATAGCAAATGTCTGTTTCAAGGTATATGGCTACATGAGCATGGCCCAAGCAGTCTCCTTTCTTAGCGACTTCAAGCTTGGTCATTATATGAAGATCCCTCCAAGATCAATGTTCTTAGTTCAGGTATGGTTCATCCAGCAGTACTGTGAAATCCGAAATTTTGAATTGCCATTTTAAATTTGTCTGGCTGAAATTGTGAGAAGCAATTTGCTGAGCATTAAGTTCATCTTTGGTTCAAGAACTAGACATGAACGAATCATATAATGAACAAGATTTCAGCTTGTTTTTTTCTTCTTCGATGGTGTCCAATACTCTTCTGTCATCTATATGGAACGTGCAATAAAATAAAATATCACAGTGACAATTCACAAAGCTTATTAAAGATGCAGTATCAGTTTTTTGTGATCATTATTTCTTCCAAGGGTGCATTCATTCTTGCGTACCATGAACTTGACATTTGTATTCCAGTTCCTTGGAACCACGATTGCAGGTACAATTAATATAGGTGTTGCATGGTGGCTTCTGCATTCTATTGACCACATATGCCACAAGGATAAGCTTCCGCTAAACAGTCCTTGGACATGTCCCAATGATCGTGTCTTCTTTGATGCATCGGTCATCTGGGGCCTTGCGAGTCCAAGAAGGATTTTCGGCGAACTTGGAAACTATTCAGCAATGAACTGGTTCTTTGTCGGAGGAGCATTGGGACCATTTATCGTATGGGGGTTTCACAAGGCATTCCCTAAGCAATCTTGGATTCCCCTCATTAACCTTCCCATACTCCTCGGAGCAACTGCTTATATGCCACCAGCCTCTGCATTGAACTACAATTCTTGGATTCTGGTCGGGACAGTTTTCAACTTTTTCGTGTACAGATATCGGAAGAAGTGGTGGCAAAGATATAACTACATACTTTCAGCAGCCTTAGATGCTGGTGTTGCTTTCATGGCTGTGTTGATCTACTTCAGTGTGGGGTTGGAGAATAAAAACTTGAAATGGTGGGGTGCTGATGATCCTGAGCATTGTGATCTTGCCGCTTGTCCTACTGCCAAGGGTATATCAGTCGACAGTTGCCCAACATTTTAATTCTATGTTGTATTTGCGCATGTAGTTTGAAATTATATATTGGTCGAATATCCACGAAACAAATGTGATGAAGAATTGCTTTAAAGAAAGAAATTTGTATTTAGTAAGTAGACTATGTACATGCAATGTGCTGTATCCTCGCTTGTCTGCTGACTCAAAACTCGACATTTTTTTTTAAGATCAGATTATTCTTTAGTTACTTAGTCCTAAATTATAGAGAAAAAAAAAATCCACTTAATGTTAAAATACATCAATATTACTTTTAACTTAGTACTCTTATAATTCTGCAACAAATTTTTTGATCATATCTCAATTGTTTGTGCACAATTCATAATTATTTTTTTATTTGTTTTAACAATAAATAAATAAAGGGTAATTATATTACCAAAACAAAATTTATTTCCAATACCACATTATAATCACACTACAATTAAAACATATTTTCAATAAATACACAACAAAAAATTTACAATTATAGACCTAACTCAAGAATAACTAAAATGGATAATTATATTGCTGCCACAAATATTATTTCTTGCACCACGACTCCACCCATTTTAATTCTTCCTAACTAAATTAAAAAAATAAGAAATGTGTTGTACATTTCCCTTCTTTCCGCTCTACACCAATTCTCCCAAGAATTGACGCCCCCACCATCCCACCCCCACCCCATAGGCTAAAAGGAAAAAACAACACAATGCACATTAAACAATTGGAGTAATGAGGAAAGGAGAAGGCGGCAACATAGGGTAATACCTTTCTTGGCCAACAGTGTTTGAAATCTGGGCCTTGTCGTTGACTTGAATGGAGCTGGTAGCGAATTCAACCGGCACTTGTATTCTGTTTGTCATGGTATACGAAAAAAATAAGGGCCTTGATTCGACCTCAGACATGAAGCCAATTTAAGTAAGCATTTTGGCACGATCAAATTGGCATAATCTTCCATACAAATCAACGCGTGTACATAAAAAATTGCACGACAAATGTCATGAAAGCACAAAACTTACCAAAAGATTGAAATTCAGACTCAGTCATGACTCCCAATATAACGAAGAGTGAGTCAACTCATAAAAATGGCTAGAAAGTACCTAAAAATCGTCTATAAAAAGGGTCATCAACACAACAAAGAAAATGTTAAAAATCAAAGGGTTAAGAAAGCTAAAGCAAGAAAAATTTTAGAAATTCAATCTTCCACTCAAAAAATTCGCCTTAGATCAAGGCAAAAATTTGGGTTAGCACTCCTGAAACTTTGTTGAAACTTTGTTGAAAACTTCTTCTTTCTTCCATCAAATAGAAAGCTCGAACAAAACACACCCAAAAGCCCCAAGAAGGGACAAAATCTTGTCAAAATATCGAAAAGAAAACTCTACGCTGGCATACAAAAACAAATTATTTTTTGAGGTCAATAGAGTTTATAAATAATTTAAATTATAAATATGGAGATAAGTTGATAATACTTGTGAATCCCATTAAATATGTAGATAAAAGTGGTACCAATTATAAACATTAGCCAAACGTTAACCTCATCAATTCTTGGTCGTTTGTATGCATAAGCCGTTGCAAATAATTAATTTTCCTTTTATGATTAGGGATGATAAAATGCCCGCTTCATTGCTTTCCACGTTCGTCATATATCACCTGGAAAGTGAAATTACGATGATCGATCCAAATTACACATAAAGGGAGGGGTGAGTAGGTGTTTATACGGAATTAAAACTTAATAATTAATTAACAACAACTCACTATTAATTATCTCTAAATGGTTAATCAATCAGTCCAATTATCCTAAATTGAATTGCCGCAGTTATATGGAAAACAATAAATAACAAGTAGATTGATTACAGAGAAACCCCAACTGAGTAAAAACTTCAGGTACTTTGCCAGTCAGAAATCCACTATAAACGAATTTTGAACTTACAATCTGTTAGACACGACTACGACTAGTACTTTCTGACCTCTTGACTACAATTATCACAGCTCTCTTGGATTACGTGCTTTTGCACCAACGCCCAGATGCAGTTTTCAAAACCCTCTTGGATTGTGTGCTCCTACACCAACTCCCGACTTTATGAATTCGTCTATCTCCTGTGGATCAATGAAGAACTCCACGTTCTCCAACAACTGGAACTCCAATCACCTTCGCTTGATCTTCAGCACTCTGACAGATGTGTGTAGGAAGTAGGAATTTGGTATTTGGATTAAGTGAGTTTGATGTTTTCAGCGCCAAGAACAAATCGAACAACGAAGGTTGAAAGATTTGGATGAATTTGATGAAGTATATAAGAACTAGCATGTGTTCTCTCAATGTTCAACCTTAAAAAATCGTTCAGAGACGTGCTAGTATTTATACTGTAGGTTAAGGAATGAATGAGCTGGATAAAAAAACCTTAAAAACGCGAATTAAAATTCTCCGGATAACCCTGTCGATCGAGCGAAAGTTGGGCGACAAGCGAGCAACGTGTGTCGCTCAAGCGAAGTCCTAGCGATAGGTTAGCGACAATGTTTCTATTGCTACAGCTCGAGCCAAGTCATGGTGACAGTCTAGCGAAATCACTGCTCCATTTTTCCTTCTTTTCCATTCTCGAATGTTAGACCTAATACAACTCAATTTATAATAATTCCAACTTACCTCTTGACTTTTACAACACAATAAATCTAGTCATTTTTGTTCACAGACAAGCTTCTCATTTGGCATTCTATGACAAAACTACAAATCTAAAGTCAATGTAGTACAACAAAATAGACTCATAACACCTACTACTATCAAATCAACTGTCTTGATTGAATTGTGCCTTTTCTTTGTAAACCTATTTCCTGAAACAAACAACTTAATATCAAGTGTAAAAGTACGTGAAACAGTAATATGAATAAATATAATTTAAACAGTTAATCATTAGTCATACCATTTAAAATAAAATGCAATGAATCATATCAACTAAATTAAGATGCAATATCAATGTAAACCAACATACCAAAAGGAACATTGACATCACTAAAAATCGAAACTTAATCTAACTAAAACTTTAACATTCAATGTTAGTGTCAGTCAAAATATCTAATCAACAATATATTATATATTACTCAATGTTAATGACAATCAAAATATCTAATCAACAATATAATATATATTACTCTCCCTTTTTGTCACAAATGACAAGGGGCCGATAAAAAAAATATACATAAGAACCCAAAAAATATAGCTGTCAGCATGCATAAGTATAAGCAATGGATAGTAACCATTTCCACACACGTAACTCAAGTTAGCATGGAGTAAAATGTATAAATGACCTATATGTGTAAATTGTCACTAATATTTTGGAAGTAGCATTCCAAACCTTAATTTTGTGAGAAAGGACACGTTAAACATCACTGTCATAAGTGTATTCCTCTACTTATGAAAGTCAAACAATTTAAAACACATTAGAACCTTTAAATGAAAGCTCCTTTTATATTGATATTTTATTTTCTCCCCATGACGTTTTGCATATATATATTTTCACATCTTAAGTGCATGATCTTCTCCATTAAGCGACTAAAATGACACATATAGCGAGTGTTATGCCGATTAACCTAAGTCAGTTGACAATAGGCACCAGGTTATGAGAAACCCTACAGGCTTAGTGCTCGAGTCAAATAGGCTCCAAAGAAGAACATAAGATATTAAGATTTTTACTATTGGGGATAAATTTGAGTTTAGATCTAATAAATAAGGTCAATTCATGTTCAAAGCCACCTTACTAACAAGTGATTACCATCTCAAATCTCACATACGAGATAGAGTCCCACTAACAATATCATAATGTGTGCAATGAAGATGGTACATAAAGACAACTATATTAAGTACTCCATAAATAACTTAAGTCAGCAATGAAAACTACGTTACAACTCATCAATTAAACTCATGTTTGATCACAACACACAAAATCAAGTTTATTGTATATTATGCTGTAAAATAATACTTTTTCGCATTTTTTTTTTCAAATGTTCATAATTTCTTTTTTTATTTTTTAAAGCATGAATGCATCAAGCACACAAAGCAACTGCAAAAAAAAAAGTAGTAGTATATAAATAAAAAATGCATGAGTTTTCTACCTCGAAAACAAATAAATGAATATGATGAATGCATAAATCGATGTTACACAATGCTAAAGCACAAGTATGCACCGACGTACCTAATCAAAGAGGTACATGAATGCTCTTACCTTTAAGAGCATGATTAGTCTCAGGACATTTCAGGTCACTTTTCTTAACCTAAACCTTCTTAGAAGTAGAAGTACGGCTAGTTAACCGAGTCATCATCTCACTTAAGCGGCTAACCTGATTTGCGAGAAAGTTAACCTTGCTCGAGATATCCTGACTTTTAGTACTAGTCGCGAGCTTACGACACCTAGCTCTTGTGTGTCCCAGTGCACCACAATGGTGACATGTGGGAATAAACTTAGGCTCAATCCTACTTGGAGGTTGTTGCCAATTTATATGATAATTGATCATATGTTATCTAGTAGGCCTTAATCCTAAGATATTCTTGCCCTTGGGTTCAGATTTAGCAGTATTCCTAATCTTGTTGGTGGTTGGGAAGAACGCGATCTTGGAAGTACTAGCAGTAGTATTACCATTTTGAACGTATCCTAGACCATGCCTATTTCCAGTAGGCTTGTTCATTCCTAACAGATTATTGAGTTTTTGAGTACCACTCATGAAGGAATTAAGTTGAGTATTAGATTTTTCTAGATCACTTGTTAATGATTTAACTTTGACTTCTAAATTCTCATTAACAAGTTTCAACTCACCTAATTTTTTGACAGAATCCAAAAGGTCACCTAAGAGTTTCTCTCTCTCTTTCAAGTTCATTAACCTTCTTAATACGCCTCTATTGACCTTCTTGATTTTAAGACTTTCTTTAAATAACTGTCGATAAGACTCATGAATATCGATTTCATCCTCAGAGCTTTCCTCAGAATTCTCACTATGTTCATCATTCTCCACCATTTCATTCTCTT